GTAACATCCTCAGATTATCATTTGCGGTGTAGATGTGGCTGTTCTTCACGATAGCATATAACGCTGGGATGTTGTGATTTTTCCTTGTTGGTTCGTGCTTATAAATGAGATTCTCAAACGCATCATATATTCTGACTTGCAAGTTGAAATATTCAAAGACCTTCGTCATGTCTGTTATTGACGCCCCTTTTGTTTTAAAATCTTCTTCCGTCTTATTTATGATCTTTAGGATGGCTTCTTTTGTTAGTTTGTTCTTCTCTCTCTTGTGATCTCCCATAAGAGTATCCTTGTAATAATCGGTCAAGGTGTTAAACCAACACTCGTTCTTAACATAATGATCTACTTTAATGGCTTCTTTAAAGGTCTCATACTGTGGATCTAAGGGTGTCTGAATATATCTGTGATACATACTGACATTCTCTGCGTTTGTTAGTTCTTCGTCTTGTGGCTTGAAAGCATCGGCGTTATCTACCCTTTCGGCATAATTAACTTTAATACAGTCAATGTAACCTTCTGCGTAACCAACTTCGGCTCTAAAACTATCATCTGTCAATAACAACAACTTGAGCCTATAGAACGTCTTAGAATCGGCTTTTTCATATTTGAATATGCGTCTCCCCGCTAATTTTTCTACCCACGGCGTTGTATGCGCATTAGCAGTTAAAGGGTTCATGTATACTGGGACATATTCCCTACCCCTACTGTCTCTAAAGGACGTTTTTAATACACCTTTGTCTGCTTCTGTTTTAAGCCTATTTATATGAACATTGATTGAATATTTTTTGGTTTTCTCGGGTTGGTTCTTCCCGTTCGTTTGTTGTCTTCTTTGGCTTGTGACATTCTCTGACCTAATTGTTCTTTATCCTTATGTTTGTCATAAATCTTGTTGTATTCTTTTTCTGCTTTAGATTTTTCTTTGTCTGTTTTTGCAGTGGTGAGTTTCCTAATTAAATTGTCTGCTGTGGTGAATTGGGCGATCTAACGATCTGAATATAAGTTAATTATATTTTGAACTTTTGTTCTGGTGGCTTGGTTGATGCGGTTTCTTCTGTTGTTATAAAATGTTTGTAGTGCTTCTGTATTACGCTTAATGGCTTGGGACATATACTAATATAATTAAACTATATATTTATTTTCTTTTTAAGTTTAAATTTTCCAAGGATTTTTTAAAATACTAAATGTTTTTTTAATATATAGAAATATGTCTAAAGATAAAAAATAATATATAGTATAGTATAATATGAGTAAAAACCCCGAGGATATGACAATGGATGAAATCAAAGAGCAACTCGCCATATACAGCAGATTGTATTACAACAAGCGCAGAAATGATGAAAAGTATATGCAAAAGAAACGAGAATCTGCACTGCGACACAATCAGAGAAAGAAGATCAAAGAGTATGAAGAAGCTAACAATATCAAACTGAACCCCGATGAGATGACAGAAGAATTGCTATCAGAAATTATGAATGCCAAAAAGCCGTTTAAAGCAAAGCGTGGCACACCCAAATATGATATGAGCAAGTTCAAGATCATAAAGCCGATGGACGAAGAACAATAATATCATCCTTATTATAATGAGTAGTTCTAATAAAGATGATATAATTAGTAATATTTATTACGATAGAAGCGGTTATGGTAGTATTGCCACCACCTACAAAGATGCCAAGGAAAAAGATAAAACTATTACACTCAATGATGTTAAGGAATGGTTTAAAAAGAATGTTGAACAGAAAAAGCAACTACGAGGTTTCAATTCTTTTGTTGCCCCCCGAGCATTCTATGAGTTTCAAATTGATTTGTTTTTTATTAACGATATACCAGATCAAAAATTTAGAATTGGAATGATATGTATTGATATATTCAGCAAATACATGAATGTAGCACCGTTAAAATCCAAACAACCGCCAGATATTTTAGCAGGATTGTTGGAAAACATTAACAAGATGGGAGACAAACCATCCCTTTTATATTCAGACGAAGAAGGTAGTTTAAATAACCAGTCGGTAATAGATTACTTAAAGGAAGAGAAGATAGAATTACACAGGACGAGAACTCACGCGGCGTTCGCGGAACGTGGTGTGCGCACTTTTAAAAAAAATGCTTTACGATAGAGTTGAAGCCGATGAAAAACGGGGTAAGAACAATATTCAATGGACTGACTACATTTTTGAAATTTTACTGACTTACAATAACAAGATGGTTCATAGTGCAACTAAATTCACGCCCAAAGATGCTAAACCTAGTAACGAATTAAAGGTGAAATTAAATTTGAGTATGAACGCAAAACGTAATAGACTTTACCCCGATGTAGACACAGGCGATAAAGTCAAGATTTTCAGGAAAAAAGGCGTGGGTGAAAAAGAACGTGTGTCAACTTGGAGTCAAAACATATATACAGTTGAGAGAATTGAAAAGAAACTGAATCAAAATTATTACTATATTGAGGGAAACCCACGTGCTTTCTTACGGCACGAAATATTGAAAGTTTAATTTTTCTTTTGATAAATAACTTTCTTAAGAAAAACACCTAAAGAAATAGCTACTATACATATTATAGTGGAAATGATTGATAGCGAAAAGCGTTGTAACACTGGATTATAATATTGATAAAGAAATCGCACGTGGTCGTAAATTAATACATGATGACATGCAAAACTGTAAGAACTGCAAATTAATTCATTACCAACTCAGAAATAATTTTAATGTATTTTCCGAGGGCGTAAATGAGAATATCTTTTCTTATATTGGTTGTTCTAATTGTGTTGATAGAATGAGATATTTAGAGTATGATGTTTCTACTCTGATATATGGGTTAGTTGGAAACAATGATTATCCTACATATAGATATGTGATATTAAATGTCTTACGTGGGTATAATACTAATTATTGTATTGTAACAATTTATTGTAATGTTTATGAAGATGAAATAGAAGAATACGAACTGAGTTTTTATGCCAAATACACTGAGTTATATAATAAGAAAATACAGAATAAATTTGAAGATGCATATAACCATTATTTTAATGAGGAGAAAGTTAAGGAATTAAAAGAAATATTAATAGATTCACACAATGGCGAATATAGTGATGACCAAAATGATATTGAATTGAAATATTTTTTGTATCATTATCTAAGAATATTTTCAATGATTATTACATATCTAAATAAACGACATGTCTTTCCTGACTTAATGGAATGGTTAAAATTCATTATTATTGACCAATGATAATTTAATAATATGATTAAATTATTCGGGTTTTGACTTGATTGATTAAATAAGCATAACATTATTAATATTATAATGTTATGGGTGTCGCCTTGATGAACCCCATGTGCAAACTACAAAACCTTATTTGCAAACCGCAATACCCTACTTGCAAACTGCAATACCATACTTGCAAACTGCAATATCCAACTTGCAAACCGCAATACCCTACTTGCGAACTGCAATACCATACTTGCAAACTGCAATATCCAACTTGCAAACCGCAATACCCTACTTGCGAACTGCAATAACCAACTTGCGAACTGAAAAACCCTATCTATAATGTAATTATAAATCTTAATGTTATTTAAGTTTCTAAAGAAAAAATGACTTAAAGAGATATCACCATTGTATTTAGAGCTAATGAGCGACGAATTCCAAGAATGTAGTAGCTGTAAATTTGTCAAACATATAGACAGATTTGATGGCTTCCTAACCTGCAACTGGTGTCGTGAATCTAAACGACGATACCGTGAAAAAAAACAAGGATGACATCAACAGAAAGAGGCGAGAGAAAACAGCACAGAATGGTGCATTTAACTGCCGAGGTTGTGGTTTGAGAGTTCTTCCAGAAAAATACGAAGCCCACTTAGCAGGAAAAACTCACCAACACACACGAGAATCTAGACTCAGAACCAGAGAAGTAAGGATAAAACAGTTGCAGACAGACTTTCCAAATATCTGGAGCAAACTGTCGGAAGAAACCAAGAATGATGAAAACAAAATGAACCAAGTCATACTCAAAGTTCTTAAAAACGACTTCACCGACATCCACTTGAATTTTCCTTAATCTCATCGTTATAGTGTAATTATAATACATAAGCAGTTATATATTATAATTACAATGTTGTTACAACCCTTAACCCTAAACCCTGAACCAAATTCTTTGAGAAGACCATTCCCGTTTTCGGGCTATGGTGCCATTCACGTTTTCGGGCTATGTCAGTTGGGTTGAGATCTTGGGTGGGGAAATAGGGGAACTTGGGTAGGAAACTTGGGGTGGGATTGGCAATCCCCGAAACCCTGTTTTTGGGATTGGCGATCCCCAAAGCACTGTTTTTGGGATTGGCGATCCCCAAAGAACTGTTTTTGGGATTGGTGATCCCCGAAAACCTGCTTTTTGGGATTGGCAATCCCCGAAACCTTGCTTTTCTGGGGTGGGGAAATGGGCGTGGGAAAATTTGGGAAAAGAGATTTTTTCATATTGAGATGTTGGGACGTGGGCGTGGGGGGGGGGTATAGGATGACCAAACTGGGAATGGTCTGATCTGACTGGGGTGGGGGGGTCTTCTGGTAGACGCCTATACCCCTCGCAGCACTTAAGTCCTAAACCCTAAACTGGCCCTAAACCGTATGCCCCCCTAAACCCCAGAAGTCGCCCTCCAATCTCCTCAGCCCCATGCCCCCCTAAACCCTAGAGTTTCTCCCCTTAAGTCCTAAGCGTCCCCCTGATAGGATAGTGTATCTAGGGTTTAGGGTTTAGGGTTTGGGGTCCCTTTGTGTTAGGGGGGGCAAGGGGGCGGTGTGGGCCCAAAACGTATCCACCCAAGACACCCTACGAGACCCCCGCCCTACAAACCCTCTGCACCCTGTAATCCCTCGACGCCATTTTAAGCCCTACAAACCGTAGAAGCCCTGTAAACCCAACCCGAAACCCTAAACCCTGAACCCTGAACCCTAAACCCCTAAACCCTTCTCGGCCCTAGAAGATCCCACAAGCCGCTTCAATCAGGAGGCTGCCTCAAGGCCGGGACGCTCTCGTGCTGGGTTTTTTAGGATTTAGGATTTAGGGTTTAGGGTTAGGGCTCCGGGAGACTCCTGCGGGTTTTCGAGCTTCGCCTGCGTGCCAGAGGCAAATGTTCATGAAACTGTGGGCAAACGGAGTTGCAGGAAAATGTTAGGCGGTTCAGGGTTTCCCCAAACCCTAAACCCCAAACCCCCTAGTTCAAACTTTCAAGCGCCTTTGGTAATTTGGGATTCTAGGGGTTTAGGGCTTAGGGTTCAGGGTTCAGGGGTCAGGGTTCAGGGTTTAGGGTTTAGGGTTTAGGGTTTAGGGTGGGGGGTGTTTCGGGCCCATGCCTTTTCTGGTATCTCAGGGGGCTTCTGCGGACGGTTGGGGGGGGGGGGGGGTCAGGTTTAGGCTTTAGGGATTAGGGTTTAGGGTGTAGGGTTATGGTTGAGGGTTTAGGGTTTAGGGTTTAGGGTTTAGGGTTTAGGGTTTAGGGTTTAGGGATCCTTGAACAGTTTCGAACCCTTAAACGCTAGAACTCGTTCAAGGTCGGTGCAAAACAGGAAGCCCTAAACCCTGTTAACCCCCACGCCTTGAGTATACTCAGGACCTAGACAAACCCTAAACCCTAAACCCCAAACCCTAAACCTAAACCCTAAACCCTAAACCCTAAACCCTAAACCCTAAACCCTAAACCCTAAACCCTAAACCCTAAACCCTAAACCCTAAACCCTAAACCCTAAACCCTAAAACCCTAAACCCTAAACCCTAAACCCTAAACCCTAAACCCTAAACCCTAAACCCTTCCAACTGGCTCGCAGGAATGCTTCCCCTGTCCACAGCCCGAACACCAAGGAGGAGAGGGGGTACCCTGCACCCTACACATCAAACGCTATCGGGTTTGGGGTTTGGGATAGGGTTTAGGGACCATTTTTCTGCTGAACCCTAACCCTAAACCCTAAACCCCAAACCCTAAACCCTAAAGGGTTTTTGGGGGCACTTCTGGGGGTGTTTAGGCCAGGTTGAGGGTTCGGAATTAAAACGCTCAACCTTATACGAAGCTCACATGTAGGCAGGGTCGCTGCAAGTACGGTTCTCAACAGATCCCAAGTTGCGCCCTAACGAACCCCCGCCCCCCCCCCCTCCCCCCCCCCCCCCCCCCCTCCCCCCCCCCCTCGACCTCACTCTGCAGCGGAGCGGTTCGAGGCAAAGTTCTTCTTACTCCTTGAAGCTACCATGGCCTGTAGGGCTTAAGGCTTGGGACTTTAGGGTTTAGGGTTTGGGGTTTCGGGTTTAGGGCTTTGGTCTTGGGATGTTAGGGTTTGGGGGTTTCGGGGTTTCAGGGGTTCATGGCTTTCGGGTTTTAGGGCTTTGGGCTTCTTTTGGCATGTGGCCACGTGGAGGGACTTCCCCAAAGGCCTTTAGCTAAGCCTCTTGAAATCCGACAGTTAGGGTTTTAGGCTTTCGGGGTTCAGGGTTGTTTTTTTTGGTTTAGGGCTTTAGGGTTTAGGTTTGTTGGGGTTTAGGGTTTTAGGGCTTGGGGCTTCATTTGGGTTGTAGGGTTCTGGGTTTAGGCGGCTTTTGGGTTAAGGCTAAAACTAGGCGCTTCTCGATGAACCCACGACCGCAAAAAGGAAACCGTAAACCCTAAGCCCTAAACCCTAAGGCCTAAACCCTAAACCCTAAACGCTAAACCCTAAACCCTAAACCCTAAACCCTAAACCCTAAACCCTAAACCCTAAACCCTAAACCCTAAACCCTAAACCCTAAAGCCTAAACCAGACAGTCTGCTGGAGCAAGGATCAAGGGACTAGAGGGGGGACCCGTATAAAGGGACCTTAGGGGTAATGTAGGGGCTACAAGCCCTAAACCCTAAACCCTAAACCCTAAAGCCTAAACCCTAAACCCTAAACCCTAAACGCCGCCAAAACCCTTGCATGCCGTGGCTCGAGCGAGATCGTTTTGTAAAGTTGAAGCTTGAAACCGACTGGAATGGCTTCGTGCAGGCGCCCTTGAGGGCTGCCTAAACCCTAAACCCTAAACACTAAACCCTAAACCCTATTTTTTCCAAAACAGTTGGGGGGCTCATCCTGTTCCTGTTTGAGTGGCTCTTCCCCTCTTCCCGAAACCTGCAACAACGTAAGCCCTGCCTGGACCTCCCTACCCAGGTTATGTAGCCTTCTAACAGGGTTTAGGGCACATGTTTTACATGAATAAATCTAAGTATTAACAAATACATACGTATACATGTATATAGATAGATAGATAGATAGATGTAGTAAAGATATATGTACATATGCATTTAGAAAGATCCGGGCATGTAGACAGCTGTTATGAGCACTTCAAACCCTGACACCCGAAACCCGAAACCCCAAACCTTAACCTTAAACCCTTAACCCCACCAAATAATCTTCGGAGCCCATTTCGCTCCAGCTTTCCAGCAGTAGGGTTTAGGGTTTAGGGTTTAGGTTTTAGGGTTTAGGGCTACTTGGAGGTTCACGGGTAGATACAAGTAGGGTTGTAAGTAGGGTAGCTATAGCTACAACTGGTGAAATCCTTGTGAAGGCTTCTTATAGCTACCCATGAGCCTTCAAGTAGGGCAGTAATAAGAGCGGGCGGCACAGACCGTGGTGGAAGGCCGTCAAGTTGCGAATAACTCACGGGGTCTCCTGGGCAGAAATCTACTATTTGCTCAAGAACCCCCCCAAACAATAAAAACATGTTCTTCCTTAAAAGCTGATGCAGGCCTTCTTATCTTTCATTTTTTTTGGTTTTTTTAAGCCAATGCCCTAATAATTCAGCCAGCATCGACCCCAACGTACAGGTCCGTTGCCGCAGCCTAGTCCAAGCAAGATTGTGCTCTTGCATATACAGGTCAAGCGGTCAACCTTCACCCTAAACCCTATAAACTTTCATGTGGGGTTTCCGAAATTAGGGGTACCTTATTGGGGTCCGTACTACAAGGGGATCCTACTATTTGGGATCTATATTGGGGTCTCTCATTCTCGTAAGCCCGCATGTAGGGCGTTCACGGCTTCTGCGGCAGAATGCACATTTCGGCAAGCCATGCCCTTAAACACGAAAACAACCTGGGGTGTCGGATGACTTTAGGGTTTAGGGTTTAAGGGGGCCTGCCAAAACTAAGTTTCTATGGATAACAGAAAATAGGGCTTATACAGAAACCCCAAACGTTCAAACCCTGAACCACTAAACTTAAGAAACCAAAACCCTAAGCCACCAAACCAACCCCCTAAACCCCAAGCTCCAAGCCCCAAACCCTAAGCCCTAAACCCTAAACCCTAAACCCTAAACCCTATAAACCCTAAACCCTAAACCCTAAACCCTAAACCCTAAACCCTAGCCCTAAACCTTAAACCCCTAAACCCTATCTTTGTAGCAGGCGCCACGGAACAGAATTGCCTCGCAGCGACTGCCAGGTGGCCCAATGAGTTCGCAGGTCCTGTTTTTTGTTCGGTTTAGGGTTTAGGGTTTAGGGTTTAGGGTCTAGGGTTTAGGGTCTAGGGTTTAGGGTTTAGGGTATAGGGTTTAGGGGTTAGGGGTTAGGGGTTAGGGTTTATGGTTGGTCGGCTTCAGGTGTGAGGCTTCAGGGCTGAGGGCTTACGGTGTTCGTTTTCTTTTTTTCCTCCCGGGTTGAGGGTTCGGCTTTTCGTGTACTAAGACCACCCTAAACACCTGTAGGGGTCTTCGATGAGCAATTAACCCGAGATACGAAGCTGAAGCCATTGTGGACACTTTGGGGAGTTTGGGGGCTAAGTTCTCCAACCCTAAACCCTAAACCCTAAACCCTAAACCCTAAACCCTAAACCCTAAACCCTAAACCCTAAACCCTAAACCCTAAACCCTAAACCCTAAACCCTAAACCCTAAACCCTAAACCCTAAACCCTTACCCTAAACCCTAAACCCTAAACCCTAAATCTGAATCTGAAGCCTGAAAGCCCCAGCCTGCCATCCGACGCCAGGGCCTGTCCGATTCGTCTGGAACTGGCAGTCCTGCCAGTTCTATCAGCGACCTTTGCCTGCAGATTTTTTGGGATGCGGTTTAGGGTTTAGGGTTTAGGGTTTAGGGCTTAGAGCTTAGGGCTTAGGGTTTAGGGTTTAAAGATAAAGATTCCTAACCCTAAGCCCTAAAACCTCAAGCGCAAGTGTTTGGGCTCCAGGGTGTGGGGCGTGGGGTTTATGGTTTACGTTTATGCATTTGGGGAACTGTACATTTTCTTCATATTGTGGGATTTGCGGGCGAGTGGGTATGTTTCCAAACTCCTAGAATATCTTTTTGCTTTTGCAGAAATTTCAAATTGTCAAAAAGTTTCAAGCTGTAAACATTTCCCCTTTGATTGAAAGTACAACGAAAGCCAAGTCTTTTCAACAGCTTAGTTTCTTTCAACAAGTGCCCAGATTTGACGCAGAGTTTGAATCAGAGTTTTTATTTGGCAAAGCAGAGCGTTTGATTTGATTCTCCCTGGTTTGGAGACAAAATGTCCAGCTTCAACAGAAACCAACCTTGAGAATCAGACTTTGACATGCTTGTCTGAAGGTGCCCAAAGTTGTGCTGTCTGCATCTCTTTTCTTTCTAACGTTTCTTGTTCGCTTCTGCAAATGCCTGCTGAGTGAATGAAGGCAGCCATGGGGGCGTTCCTGTTTATTGTTTGCTTTGAGAACCTGAGTTTCTTCAAGTTGTGAAACGGCAGACCCTAAACCCTAAACCCTAAACCCTAAACCCTAAACCCTAAACCCTAAACCCTAAACCCTAAACCCTAAACCCTAAACCCTAAACCCTAAACCCTAAACCCTAAACCCTCAACCCTCAACCCTAAACCCTAAACCCTAAACCCTAAACCCAGGCCATGCTTCGCAATTTCCTTACGTTCGAGTCGAGGCCTTGCTTGAAGAAAGGGCACGGTGGAGGCACTGGTTTTGCTCAGGATTCCTGCGATGCATTGAGACCTTGGAAAGCGTTGCTTTGCATTTTTTGTGGGGCTCCCTGTTTTTTTCGGCCCCTGTGCTTGTTTTTTCGACCCCTGTGGCTCTGCATGTCGGTTTTTCGACCCCCGGCACGAGCTCGACCAAGGCATTGCTTTTCAGGCCCACCGGCTTTTTGTTTTTCCTCCTCTCCCTCCCAGCTTGCTTTATGGTCCCCTGACGTCGTTTTTCTGACCCCTCATGCTGTTTTTCTGGCTCCTGCCTTGCTTTTCCGACCCTCGCAAGTCGGCTTTCGGACCTCAAGGGTTGCCTTCGCAGGGGGGGGGGGGTTCCCCCCCGCCCACCCACCCACCCACCCCGAGCCGTGCGAGCTTGCTTCAAAGCAGATGATGCTTTTTGAAACCCTTCATGCGAGCACTGTGCGTGCAAATGAGGGGGGCGAGAAGGAAAAAACAACGCCACACGTAGGAGAAAAAGAAGGGCCCTAAACCCTTTTATCCCTCGCTGTGGCTCCGGCCTCAGGAGTTTCCTGGGCTTGAGGTCCACGCCCATATGGCGGTTCACGTTCAGACTCATCGCCTTCCCTTATGGCTGCACCTCTTTGCCCAGGGTCCTCCTGCACGACCTGTTGTGCACGGCGAAATTCCTGCTGCACTGCGTCTGACCAGAAGGGGTTCGGGAAGTTTGCTATGGCAAGGTCTACACTTCTACAGGGCCCTTTTACTTAGCGTTGGGCTCATAACCCTCGCGTGGGCAGGAAGCTCCACAGCGGGGTTACGCAGGGCTCTTTTTGCCACCAAGCGGCAACACAAAACAAGACAACAAAACAAGACAAGTTCTGATAGGAGTAAATGGGGGGTGCTGCGCCCCCCCAAACCCCCCCCGCTTTGTTAAGCCGTGCAGACTTGCTTCAAAG